GTTAGTTGGCTTTTGTTTTTTTCTCCAGCACTTCTAGGTTAAACATTAATAATTTGATAGACCTAGGTAATGTTTTCAAACAAAAACCGTGAGTGATAGAAAATGTTGCTACTTGATTAAACCCAACCAGGGCTACTACACTGCACAATTCCAGAGGTACCTTTTACATTTTATTTACTCACTGCACACTTCTAGTCTGTACATTGGTTTCTCCACTATAGTTTGAATTTATTTGAAAACTCAATTTGTCTAGCATTTGAATTTAGAGGAATGTAGCTGCTCCGAAATCAGTGTTGGATTATATTGGTAGCATTGAAAGTTTTTAAAATTTTGTATTAAACTCAAAATAACTTGAAGAGCATTTAGTAGGAAGTAAAAAATACATAGGTAGAAACAACCTGTAACAAATGGGATTTGAAATCCTACTTCTGCCACTAGGTGACCTTGGGCAAGTTATTTAGTATTTTTGATCTTAGGCAGGCATGTTTCATTTAATGCACATAATGTGCAGAGCACACGAGTCACTCAATAAATGATAGTAGTTGTAAGTCGAGTAGACCGTTAATTCTCTCTCTGGTCCTAAGGCAGAGAAGTGGACCAGGGCATTTGGGGCTGAAAATATAGCAAGAACAGAGGTACTCAAGGTGCCCCTGGGGACATATAAGCAGTTTGGTGTTGCTGAAGAAAAAGTACAAAGCAGAGAAGAGAATGGCTAGAGGTGAGGCTGGGAAGGTCATTCTAGAGTGGGGAAAGGAAGAACTGTGTGCCACGCTTAAGAACTTGTACTTTATCCTTTAGGAAGTGGAGAGCCAAAGTAAGATTTTCAGAAGTGTAATGATGCCATATTCATGTTATAGACACCTCTGACTAGAATAGGAAGAAGGGTTGTCTTGAGGGAACCAAGAGGCAAGGAGACAAGTGAAGAGGCTGTAGAAATACTTTACACAAGAGAGGAAGAGGGTGCAGTTTAGGGTAGTGGCAAAGGAATGAGGAAGATGAGCAAATCCGAGGCAGGGCTTGATTCCTCAGGGACAAGGATTTGTGCAGGATGACTCCTAGGTGTCTGGCTTGGTGAGTGGGTAGACAAGAGAAAACAGAAAGATGGGAAAGTTCAGGAGGGGGAAGATAATGATTCCTGTTTGCAGCATGTTGATTACAAGGTGTCTGGGGGCATCCAGGTGGGTATTTAAGTCCAAAGCTTAAGGGAAAGCTCAGGCCTGGAGGTGCAGGCTTGGGAGTTGTAGGTGTTTTCAGGATAGTGAAAGCTGATGAGATCATCCTAGGAGAGTAAAGTGAACTTTAAACCATGGACTGCCAGAATACTGGGAAACATGAATATTTAAGTGAGTGGAGATAAAGAAGAAAATGAAGGCAGACCAATCATAGAAATAGGAAAACTGAGATAGAGTGAGTCGAATACATCTTTGCACATAAACCAGTCTTTCCAGTGTAGTGTTTAGCAATCTCCCTCATAGAGTGTGAGGACTGCAAGGCCGGACCCTTGCACTGTCCCTTGCCTGGGACAGTTCATCTCTACTGTTACTGGGCACCAGGCCAAGCGTGGCTGAGTCTCTGAAGAAAAGAGGAGTAAGATAGTGTCAGATGCAGTCGAGTGGTCCAAGGAAATTTAGATCGGATTTGGCAATTAAAGCAGCTGCAGTAGAGAAGAGAAAGCCAGATTGTGGTGGGTTGAAAAGTGAGTGGGACTTGAGAAAGGGGAGAGAGCCAAGGTACTTATTTCAGAAGGTAAGGAGAAAGGGTGGTCAGAGCTCCCTTCAGATTGTTCTGGTACAACTTTGCCTCACTTTTCAGCTGATATTTTGGTGTGTGTATGGGTTTTGTATGTACCATATACGTATACAAGTGTGCCGCTGCTTTTAAGTGAAGTATGAGGAAAAAAAACTTAAAAATTACAGTATTATTACATTGAGCTTTTTTATCTGTTCTATAACATATTTTGATTAGGGTCAATTAGTGAATTGCTCTTAGTTCTCTTCCATCAACCTGCTTTCCCTGTTTTTCTCACTTGGGGGTTAGACTTGCTCACCAACTGATGGCTCTTCTAGCCTTATTGGGCTACCTCTCCTTTCTCACAGGTATTTCCCCTAATAAAATCCTGTGTGTAAATTATGATCCCATCTTGGTGATGACTTCTTGGAGAGCTCAGACCAAGCTTCAAAAGTGTTTAAATATATTAATAGTATATATTTGGGTTAGCCATAGAGTTAGCATGATATAATTGACTGATCATTTTTTAAAAATAAAGATTTACTCTTTGGGAAGTTTTTCTAAATGACTATTACAAAAATGATCTGATACTGAGAGAAAAAAACTAATTCTTGCCTTTAGACTTACTGACTTTTACATCTTGAAGAAATAAAGTCATAGAATTTTTAGTATGAGAATGAACTTTAACAGTTTTGGTATGTGAAGAAGAATTAAAACATAGCAAAGTATCTTGGTAGTGGACCACATCCTATCTCTGATTTAACCATGGATATAACTAAGATAAATTAACAAGCTGAGTTACTGGATAGAGAAGAAAACTAACATTTATTCAGGACACGTATGTTGGGAGGGGAAGGAGTTGGAATGTTAGAGGAGGGACAGTACAGCTGGTGTTCTTCCAAGCTTCAAAACACCCTGTGGGCTGTTTGTTAGAATAAAGAAAGAGAGGTAGACAATATATGTATAAAAAGTCCAAGACTAGAAGTCTTGGAGACTCGGGTCCAAAATCCTCTTTCTTAACCACTGAGCCTGCTAGTCATCTGCTTTCACACTGTGTGGCTGCAACAATCCCCAAGACCACTTCTCAATGCAGTTGCAAGGTTGGGTGTCCCAAGACCACCCTCAAATTCAATAATTTGCTAGGACTCACAGAACTCACTATTAACTGTTTAACTCACAGATATGGTATATGGTCCATGGGCATTCAGAGGTGATATATAGCTAGTAATGGTGGAGTGAGATTTGAACTTAGGATTTCCTAACACCAAAGCTGATAGCATTTAAGACTGCAGTTGAAAAATGGAATGAAAGGTGTCCATTCTATTTGACATTAAAATTATTGATGGCTTTCAGTACAATGCTGGAGGCTACCATGAAAGTTATATTACAGAGAATCAAGGATTGAGAAAAAGAGAAAATAGAGATAGTTTAGTATAAGACTACTATTCTGGAAGTTTTTTCAAGGGAAAGGGCAAATGGAGGTATAGCTAGAAGGGATGCAAGATGAGAAAGTAGGTTTTCATGATACTTTGAAAGATTAGAGCTTTTTGAACATTTACCATATGCTAACTATACTAGCCTCTTTATGTATGCTATCTCCTTTAGTTCTCACATTGAAGTGGCTAGTGTTTTACTGATGAAAAAACTGAGGCTTAGAGAGGTTATGTTATATTGGTAGTAAAATGGAAATTAATAAGTGTACCTATTGCAGAGGTTGTTGTGAGAATTGAATGGGACAATCCTTATAAAAGATCAACTTTGGAGCCTTTCTCTAGGGAAGCCCCATGCCATTATAACAGTGCTTGGCCACAGAGTAAGTACTCCATGAATGCTAGCTATTGTTATATATTTTAAATTAATTCCCACTTAGTAAAAATTGGTCTCATGAAATTTAGGGGGAAGGTACATCAGTAATTTCTATTCTGTTTCTTAATTCTTTCAAAATTATGCTCCCCCCCCAGCCATTTAACTGTCACATTGAAAATATAGTAAAGTATAATATAGTACAATATGGTGTATTTATTCCTATCCGTTGAAGTAATAATTCTATATTAAGATATTTTTACTCACTAACTTTAGGTGTTATGTATTCTCTTTTGCTTTATGTTTTATGCATTCCTTTTTCTTCCGTGTTCTTGTTTTTAACTCCAGAATTAAACACCACCATGTCGAGCAAAAAGGCAAAGACCAAGACCACCAAGAAGCGCCCTCAGCGCGCCACATCCAATGTGTTTGCCATGTTTGACCAGTCACAGATTCAGGAGTTCAAGGAGGCCTTCAACATGATTGATCAGAACAGAGATGGCTTCATTGACAAGGAAGATTTGCATGACATGCTTGCTTCTCTGGGTAGACTTTTATCTTCTTTACATGCCTTTTCACAAAAATAGTAATCAGCTTGTTATGAATCACTGTTTGTGAGATGTACAAATACTATTCTCCTTGTCTCAAAAGGCCTCTTGAGAGCTTTCTGGGTATAGGAAGTACTGTATTTGGTGATATCTGTAATAATATTTAACATTGTTCAAAATAAGCTCCCAATTCTAAACCAAACTAATAGTTTTAACTTAAATGGCCAACTTATAAATAAAATGTGTGAAGCATACCACCAGTTCATGGGTAGCTGTACCACAATTGGAAATATGAATGTTTAGATTTTTTTTTAATAACTGCTATTGAACTGACTCCCCTGATAGACCTTTAATGTTATCAATATTCAAGATGTAATGTGACATTGCCTGGTTCATAGTTTCAGGCTTTTGTTTTTAATGAAAAATAATGAAGAGAAAGTTGACATAAAGTATCAGTGAGTAAACAACATTCAACCTACACCCAGAATACTTTTTTATCAAAGATTTTTTAAGTTGTCAAAAATTCTTTTTTAAATGCTCTTGATGAAAATCAATTGAAAAATTAGTTTCAAGTGATGTAAATTTAAAAAATATGTTGCAGAGCATAACAATGGTAAAGTAACTATTTATCAAAGTTAGTTCTTTGTTCTTAAATGTTAAAATGCAAAATCTTATAGGGAAGAATCCCACTGATGCATACCTTGATGCCATGATGAATGAGGCTCCAGGCCCCATCAATTTCACCATGTTCCTCACCATGTTTGGTGAGAAGTTAAATGGCACAGATCCAGAAGATGTCATCAGAAATGCTTTTGCTTGCTTTGATGAAGAAGCAACAGGTGAGCGCCATTTGTTTTTTTATGTTTAGCCTCATTCTAGACTATATGAAGCACTTCTGAAATATTTCTGAATGAAGGTTTGAGGTTTGTTTAACCTCTAGACAATACTTAAGGTTAATTTTGTAAGCATATAATCTATCTCTGAGCTTTTAAAATGATTTGATCTAATATTAATTTAAAAAAACTCTAAAAGTAATTAGAAAACATAATGACCTAATTACATATTGCCTTAGTTTGCTGATTTATTTTGTTTGTGTAGATATGGATATTCTGAAATGGGTTTAGAAGTGAACCATTAGAGTGCCAGGAAGTATTCATGGCTCCCTTCTTTCTGTTGCTTCGCAGGCACCATTCAGGAAGATTACCTGAGAGAGCTGCTGACAACCATGGGAGATCGGTTTACAGATGAGGAAGTGGATGAGCTGTACAGAGAAGCCCCCATTGACAAAAAGGGGAATTTCAATTACATCGAGTTCACGCGCATCCTTAAACATGGAGCAAAAGACAAAGATGACTGAAAGAACTCTAGCTGGAACTTTCCAATTACATTGTCTTACTCCTTTATTTCTCAGACGCTTCTTCCACCCTCATAGAACCTGTTGCATGCGACATAGTTTCACAGCTTTGCCTTTTTTCTTTTTTTGATGTATTTATTCCAGACCTTTCTGCCACTTAGCACTGGTATAATCAGACTGGAAATGGGGATGGGGTTGTGAATTGTATTGAAAAAGAGATTGAGAATAAAAATCAACAAATGTGAAAGCCCAGGAAAATACATCCATATTTCTGGTTTTGCTGGATTTTTACATTTTTATATAATAAATATGCTATTTTGAAATAAAGATTATGCTGACTCAAATGCAATGTAATGGCAAGCTAAACAAATGAGTGGTAGTTGGGGCTGGTCCTTTTGTCAGGTTTTCAACTTCATATAATTCAGATTTCACGGCAAAATTGATTTTTCACGTATATGGGATAGTGTTCCACAGAACGTTTAAGTACACTTTAACATCATTATGCTGTTAAAAACTAGTTAGGCTTTTTTTTTATGTTTCTAGTAAGTCAGATGTTTAAACTATTAAGTGATACCTACAGATGTATCTGAGAAAACATTAAACATTTTATTAATCTAAGATTCTAAGAAGATGAGGCAAAATTCTGGAGAAAAGAGTAGTTGTTATGAAACATTAAGTGTATATGGGTACGATTTTCAGTAAATCCTCCCAACAACCTTATGAAATAGATTTTTATTAGCCCTGTATTTCAAGTGGGGGAACAGAGTACTCAAGTAAGTGACCACAGTCACTGTCAGTAAATGAGAGTTAGAGCTCCTGCCCAGCGCACGCAGCTCAGAGCTCATGGCGCTGCAGGAACTGTGACACTGTCTCTGTGAAAAGCCCTGAATGCCTGAAAGAGTCAAGACATTTCCATTGCATCACATCGTGATGCTGTAGTCACTACTGAAATTTAAAATAATCTTGGGGCAATTGACTATTTGAAAAGAATTTTGGAAAATTCTGTCCATGGTAAAAAAAAAAAAAAAAAAATAGAAGATAAAAGATTATAAATAATGCTGTTGTGTGTTTCAAGACAGTTCAGACAGTATAGACAGAAGGGAAGGACAGAAAGACGAGGCTGCTGCAAACTCATTTAAAATCTTCAAGGCCAAGCAATATGAGAACTAAGAGAAAAGTCTAAAACATGAAAAAAATCCATTAATTGAAGTTGCTCAACATTGTTCAACACCTATTCCCCCTCGTAAAAGTATGGTAATGGTATCTTATCTACTTAAAATCAGTGCATTTGTTTAATATTTGTGCTTTATAGCTGGAGCAATAGGCAAATCTATTCATTTGCTAGCAATTTGTCCGGGCTTCCTTTTCAACATCTTTAAAATGAGGGAACACCTCCACTCTAGGGGTCTAGTCCAGTGCATTGCAGCTCACGTGAGCTTTCACATTTATTACCTAATCCTCATGACCCACAAGGTATTCCTAATTTTTACTGATAGAGCTGAGGTTTAGAAAAGCTGAAGCTCCTGCCCAAGGCCCCACAAGTATGTTTTCAACTTAGAAGCTTAGTCACCATGAAGTGTCAGAAAACCAAGCGGAAAATCGCTGTATGTTTAAAAAAAGGAAAATATAGGGGGATAATCTTGATCATTATTAAAGCACTATTTGTCACTCGCCTGTCATGTGCCAGGCACTGTTCTAAGTGTTGGAGATTGCTGGAGGGCTAGATAGAAAAGGACGCTGCCCTCACGGGGCTGCATTCTCCGGTGAGTGACAATCCCCGCGCGATGTCACATCAGTCCTGTGTAGAGAAGAGCAGCACTCGTGGCAGAGGGTGGGCAGGAAAGGCCTCTGAGAGGTGATGTTAAGCTGAGATCTGAATGATAAGAAGGGGGTTCCCATGTGAAGATCAGAGCGAGGCTGTCCACTCAAAGGGGACGGCTCCTCCCAAGGCACGTGGGACAGGAGCATTGGGAGAGCCAAGGATGATACCAGCACAAGGATGGTACTGGCTGCAGAGTCCAAGTGGGAAATCACAGGGCTTCAGGCAGGGAAGAAACATGATTGATGTTTTAAAAAACTCCACATCACTGTTGTGTATAGAACGAAGGGGCAAGACTAGAAGCAAAAAGACCAGTTAGGAGGCTATCGCCTTGTCCTGGCAGGAGACGAGGGCAGCTTGGACTCAGGTAATGGGAGAGATGCCACAAAACGCCTTTCCTGGTTCTGCCTGTGTCGTCGCCACCAACTCTGCTGTTACCATCTCTGGCATAACTGTAAGTGTGCTTATTCAACAGCTCTACTTAAAGCCAGATTTGAAAAATTGGGGGAAGAAAAGTTTCGAATATTAAAAACGAAAAAATTAGTAGTTTTTTGAATGCCTTATGTTACCTGACACATACTGTTCTGTTTCATCTACTTTATCTGTAAAGATCATTGTGGAATCTAGTACTGTAAGGCACCTGGGCCAAGATCTTGTTTCTCTTTGGTGTCCAATAAATATTACTAGTGATGATGATGGAGATTCTGTCTATTTAATCTTTCTCTTTTGGAGAGCCACGTAGTGATGATCTCCTACGTTGACAGTTTATCCCGTGGCCATCACAGCAAATGTGTGTGTGATCACGTAGTTAAAAATTTGTACTGAGCATTTGCTATGTACTAAGCACATTACACGACTGCCCTTTGAGGTAGGTATTTTTATTATCCCTGTTCTAATAGAAAGCACCAAGGAGCAGAGAAGGAACTTCCCAAGGTTATACATCAAGTGAGCAGGGAGGCCATTTCTGAGCCCAAGCAGCTGAGCTCCCAGGAAAATTATTGTGGGAACAACACCACTAGTTTCTTACTGTTGTAGAGCAGTTTTAAAAGCATTCGTTACTGGGCTTGATCCTCAGAACTTTAGGAAGTGGATAAGAAGGAATTGCTGTCCCATTTTATGGGTGAAAATACTGAATTACAGAAGTTACCTGACTTAACTTTATATAACAAGACTAGACAACATCTAGCTTCTAAGCTTTCTGACCAAGATAGGGTGCTTGTCATTAAATCTATAATTTCCTAACTAAATAATTAGTACCTGTAGCCTGATCAGAATGCCTCACAATCAATATGTATATTTAATATTGTCTACCCTGAAAAGTAGTAATTCTGTCAATGTTGCATCTCAAAACTCCTATGTCTTAAAATATGAAAAAGACAATCTTTGAAATATAAACTACTGAAAAAATTGCTGTAAAAACACCCCATAAAAACATCATCTGAGAAATCTGAATGAGATCGTGAAAGTTTATCACATGAAAATTTTGTGAAAGAGTTTCTTGGATAGAAAAATGGTGACGATAATAGATTGCACACATCACACTGTGTACTTAGTCTAAGTGGATCTTTTTATAACGATTGTCATATGCAATTTGGGGAAGCAATAACTAGAAGTGTCACTAGGTGGCACCATTATTCTTAGTATAGTTCTGTAGTAACCCATTCCCTAACGAACTTGACAGTGATGAAGCTGCCAATCTTGAGTATGTAGACCGCATTCGTCCCAGTAATGCTGTAACTTGGTCAAAGCTGTTTCTTAAAGAGAAAAAAATGATGAAAATTCCATTACGGTGAAATCCATAGTATTCCATGAACCCCAAATTTAGGGAGCAATGTCTAGGACTCCTTTTTACAAATCTCAATAGCAAATGTTTTCCTTCCTTCCTCCCTCCCCCCTCCCTCCTTCACTCCCTCCCTCCTTCCTTCTTTTCTTTCTTCCTTCCTCCCTTCCTTCCTTCCTTCCTTCCATCATTCATTTACAAATATTTATTGAATGCTTGGAAAGTGCCAGAATCTCAGCTAGGCTCTGGTTGCTTTCACCCTGAAGTAATGACTTCTGTTTCGAGTAAGATCATAGGCTTTGCACTTATACGACAACTTTCTCCACTTACTCACTGGATTGTCTTATGCAAGTCATTACTGCTATTGTCACTTATTAGAAATGAGAAGACGAAAGCACAGAGCCAGTAGCTATGTATGAAAATACTTTTGTCAAATTATACCTTATATATGAATGCTATTGTCACTGCCTCAAGAATGTTGAGAACTATTTCTATAATAGTTCTAGATAATATGCTCTATTAAGTCACACAATCTATACTTATTAAAGTCAGCTCCAACAAGATGACCTATGAAACAGCTTCTAAGTGTAGCTATTCCCTGCCTCCTGGAAACACATCAGAATAAAAAATAAAGTAGATAAACCTGATGTACTCTGGCAGAAGGGTATTAGAAGTATTTTGTGGGATGTGTATGAATGAGTGTGTTTAGATATAAAAAATTATTTCAGCATATCTTGCAGGAAACCAGCCTAATCTTTCACCAGTTCCACTCCGACGGCGGTTGACTGTGTTCCCAGGGCATAAGGCTTCCTTTCAGACACTCTTTCTGAATGAACTTGATGATGATGCAGATTTCCTCACGGACACTGGGAACTAGCACAGCAGAAATAAATCTGAATGCCTTAATCTATTCATGTTTTTAAATAGTCTGAGTGTAAATTGACATTGGCTCATGGGGGAGGTTGTGCTTATTGTACTTTTCTCAAGTAATCTTTTCATAATCTATTTATTCGGTTCTTACGTATTGAACAGTACATTATATCCAAGTGTTGAGAGTGATACAAAAACTATGATCCTTCTCTCTGGGAGTGTTATAATGCCCAGCACTTCAGAAGTATGTCATAAATGTTAGTTCCCTCCGTTTATCAGAGTCCCAGGCAGAGCTGTTCTGGAGCTATGACTGGTGTCTGACAGCTCACTGAAGAGGTCAAAGACAGTTTTCTAAAAAAATGCTCGCTCTGACGATGATGTTTTTTACCACTGTTGGCCTTCCTACCAGCCTATCGCATAGCTAAGAGCTCAAGCAAACACGTGAAAAAGAAAACCTCAATTTTAAGAGCTTTATGTTGAAAGTATCCAAGATTTCCTGCTTATTTTAGTGACAGCTAAAGAAATTGAATGTGTTATCCATGTGACATCCCTACCAGATTACAAACAGTTGGGAGCAGGGTCCACTTGCTGAAAGGCATTTTGAGAGGTAAAGTCCAACTTCTCAGATTGAAAGACTAAGGCTGCAAAGCCCCAGAACTAGCCTCCTAATCCTGGGCTCCTCAGCTTCCCTGATCCCCCTGTGCTCACCCCATTACCAGGCAGTGGGATTGGCCCACCTTTTTTGTTTTTAAATTGCCCTTGAGTTCGCACCTTCCTTCTCCTCGTCCTCCTTCCGCAGTGTTTTCACACCTTTGGGGCCCAAATCTTGGATGCAAATATGAAAAGACAAGAATCTGTAAACAGAGGAGCCAGCA